TGGCATCTGGCGGTTACGGGTCAGCACCAAACAGCAGGGATCCAGAAATATCAGATCCTTTGAAGTCAAGGAAAACATTTATGTTCTCTTCAATCCCTGGAATAAAGGTATTAATCATGCATTTTATGAGCCATTCAACTAAAACTATTATATTAAATAACTGTTGTTTCGCCGAAAAACATATTACGAAAACTTATGACAGGATTTAAAGCTTATGTAATTTCGCAAACTTGTGGATACGTTAACGTACTTTTAGTTTTATAAGATTAAATAACTAAAACGTAAACAATTTATTTCCTTAACATTTTTCTCATTAAATGAATTTAATATTTACTTTCGATTCAATACAAAAGTATTTTATAATAATTTATTATTTTATTTATTTTTAATTCAAAGACGACGGCGTGTTTCTGCCGGATGACGCCAAACGACGGGAGTATGTGCTCAATGATATCGGAAAAATATATATCGGATCCCATTCTAAGCCTAAGGGTAGACAATGGGTTTATGGACAGGTATGTCATATGTTTTATTTTAAAAATTAATGTGCTACAATTTAATTGATAATTTTAATAGTTCATTAAGTGAATATCATTAGTAAACTTTTAAACTAGCTGTGAATTTGTATAAAAAACTAAAATTAGTTTTTGAAATAAATGCATATATAATACAGTACATGTTAACAGTTATCAACTTGTAACTGATTAAAAAGTAAATTAATTTCTAAGTTAATGTGTTTTGCATTTTAAAATTACTTTAAACTTTTTAAAATAAATAGTTTTAATTTCGGATTAGTAAAAGTTATAAAAAAATTCATGAAAACAATAATTAAATGCAATTTATTATAATCTCTTTTCAAAGACAATGAATACTCTGTTCTTGAAAGTGATATTGAGTTAGGATTTGTTTAAATATTTAATTATTTAATTGGGATTTAATACGATAATTACATTTTCATTTATGACAAAGTATTAAAAATCAATTAACTTAAATGGCATTCAATATAAACCCAATAATGATCATCAATTGGCTATTAGTTCGCAGATTCAGTACTTCCGGCCGTAATGTTTATGATGGATAAGACACGACTGGACTACACGGCTCGGGCCAATCCGGTCAAAGTGGTCCGATCTGTGGCCGCGATGGTCAACAGTCACGACGACAACGGCCTACTGGTAGGCAACTGGTCGGGCAATTACAACGATGGCAACGCTCCCTGGCAGTGGACGGGCAGTGCGCCCATCTTCGAGCAGTACTTGCGCACCAACGGCGAGCCCATTAAGTTTGGTCAGTGTTGGGTGTTTGCCGGCTCGACCACCACCATGAGCCGGGCACTGGGTATACCGGCCCGCACTATCACCAACTTTGTGTCGGCCCACGACACCGACGACAGTCTCACTGTCGACAAGTTTTTCACTCGTGAAGGCGAACCCATATCTGATGTGAACTCCGACTCGATTTGGAATTTTCACGTTTGGACTGATGTTTGGATGTCGAGGTATGAGTGCTTTGCCACCACTT